GACAGAGAAATGAAAGTATTATGGGGGAGAGTGAGAGGGGGAGAAATAGGGACACAACTTCAAAATCTGAGAGGTGGAAGGAAATAGGAAGAGTTGAGAAGCATAAAAAATTAAAAGTCAGATGGGAACCTGTCAGTCTGTCAGTCACTTCAGAGGTTTGGCTTTTACTCTTCACACACACAGTGGAGCAAAAACTTTCCTCTTCTGTAACCTTACATGTCCTCTGAATTTGGCTTTTTCTCATTCAGGTAAACCTCGCTGTAACTCAAAGGAAGTCAGGTTTGGTTTTCTACGATACAGACGTCCGTACATCAAAACTTAACACAAAAGTTTAGATCGATTTTCTGCCTTTGTGGCAGCAGCTAGTTTGCATGCATGCCTGTGCAATATGGAGATGTACTTGGCAGGACTTGAAACGTTGCCTGTAACAGGTAATCAATCACAGAGAACATTTGCTGTATCTGTCTTTAAATTAGGTTTTTTTAAGATGTGCTGAAGCTGCACAGAACTGTTCAGAAAACCTTTGGTGCATTCAGGTTCATCAGGAGACTGCAGATATTGGTTGAGCAAGAAATTTAATGTAGGTTTTTTTTTTGTCCCATTTGGTTCTTTAGCCATTAGAAAAATCACGCAAGATCGACAGCGCACAATGTGCTTTGAGGTAGCAGCCAAGAAAGGTGTAGTTTGTGTACACCTGTGTGGACGGGCGCACTTGTATTCAAAAGGTTTCTCCATGTAACCATCTGCTAGAGGGTGTGGGGAGCCATAGCCCCGTCCCCCAAGGCATGAAGCAGGTATGGAGGAGATCCAGGCTCCAGACCCAGAGCCCAAGGAGGACCAACGGAGGGGCAACCGTGCCATCCTCCTGGGAGGAGCTGAGGAGAGCCCCAGACGAGGGCTCACCCAGCAGCCACAGAGCAGAAGCCAGAGGGGGCTGGAGTAATGTGCCAGCTGTGCCAGAGTGGACAAAGCCCCAGGCCCAGAGGCCCGAGGGCCCTCCCACCCCCCGAAATGGGCCTGACCGAGCCACGGGAGCCAGGCCCCGCCAAACAGCCACCGGGAGTGAGCCGGTACATACCTGAGCGTCCAGACACCAAGAACCACCAACGCACCGACATCTCAGGGCATCATCCACCAGCAGGAGTTTCCATCAGCTTGTTCTCAAGTTTTTGAAGCTGGAGCTTCCATCGGATAACTGCGTCTGCATGTCAACATAAAAAGACAAAAATACACTCGGCTACTGTCATGTTCAGGAAACATGGTGAGACATGGTGACATATCCTGCTAGAAGCAGCCACCAGAAGATGAACACTGTGTGTATCTTCACATAAAGCTGTAGTGTTTAAATGATGCTCGGTTGGTAGTTTGCCAAACTGTTCCTGCCATCTGATTCCATAAATCAAGACTCATCAGATCAGGCAGTGTTTTCCAGTCTAGTTGTAACAGCAGTGGCACCTGGTGTGGTCTTCTGCTGCTGTTGTTTTGGATTCAGGGGTGCTCCTCTGCAGAGCTTGGTTGTAATGATGACTATTTGAGTTACTGTAGCCTCCTTATCAGCTCAAAGAGGTCTGGCCATTCTCTTCTGACCTCTGACATCAGCAAGGCATCGTTGCTCAGAGAACTGCTGCTCACCAGATTTCGTGTCTTTTTTGGACCTCTGAACTGCTTAGACCAGCATATGTATATATATCCAGCTTAATTTTCTCTCCCATCCTGATATAAGTTAAAACCTGTGTGTCCTGGATTTATAGTAAACAGGCTTTACAATACACAAACCCTGGCATGGTCCTTTAACCCGTGGGCCTGCAGTGATTTTAATCTCATCTCTGAAATGATCAAAAGTTATCCATGAACTTTTAACCCAGCTGAGAAAATCTCAGTTTTTACTCTTAATTTGAAAAGATAAAAAAAAAAGATGAGACAGTGCGAGCGAATTGGGTAAAAGAAATTAAGCAAATGTGAAGTATTTAAGGCAAATCAAATCTACATTAAATATTCCTTATTTTATCAAATCTGGATGGAAGGTATCCGTCATAGGAAATTATGTGTGTGTGCGCGCGCGCAGGATGTTTTGATTAAATATAAAAAGTTTACAGTGATCCTGGTGGGGAATATGTGCAGATGATAAAGAGGAGGATGCAGAGAAAGTTATTAAAAGATACGAATGCGGTTACCTGAGGAAATCTGTATCAACAGGCGCGAGGGAGCCGGAGATTTATCTCACACTGCTTTCCAACAACTTTTGCAATAACACAGCTTCTGGCATCTCCCATTAATTCACTCAGATTTTTATCAGCGGTTTTCAGTGACACTGATTAAATTAATTACACTTTCCTCGGCGTGATGTTCACTTGTCTTGATCAGTTTTGTCTCACTTCTCGTGCCTCGTTAATCCCCAGCCGTGGTTTATTTCTCAACTTTAAATTTTTTAGATCTACTCTTTCACTTTTAACCTTTGACCTTTCACAAAGGGACATTCAGTAAATAATAAATGAAGCTGTTAAGCATGTGTAAAGTGCTATCGTATTAGAACTTACACGACTTTCTCCTTGTGTTTTGTCCATTTGTTGCTTGTGCTCCTCACACTGTGTTCTGCTACATCCCTGCCTCGATTCTTTTGTAAGCCTCACAGCTTTCTAGTGTTTTTGCTTTTGTCTGTCAGGCTTTGTTGGGACCGTGTATCAGCTTAGTATCAAAAATTGCTTTTTATCGTTCTCCTTTGTCCTGTGTGTAGGTCCTTTACCTGAGCCTTGTAGCAGGTGTATTGGTGCTGTTCCCTTTGTGTGTGAGAGAGAGACTTGGGTTTCTGATCTTTCTGTGTCTGATTAGGCTGAAGCCAAAAAAACAATATGGCTGGGTTTACTGAAACATTGTGGTGTGGAGTAAAAGATGATTCTCAGTGTTTGTGACAAGCTTCACCGTGACTCCTTTGGTCTGGGCTGTCTGCGTCCTATAATTGGGTGTAGTGGACTAATCTATATTTCCAAGGTTCAGAGTGCTTTAAAATGAAATCCAGCTAGGTGCTTACATTTGACAAGCTGAGGATGGGCAACAGAAAAGGCAGAAAATGAGATTTAGTCCTCGGAAAAATGAGATCCTGCACAGCTTTACTTAAAAAAGTCAAAAGGCTTTAGAGAGTATTTCTGATCCCGGTGCATTACGCTCCGAGTTCCTGTAAGAATCCTAATATACAGATATGCTGCTGGGGTTCCTCATCCTTTCTGTTAACCACTTTCTCAGCTGTCACTGAGTGGGAAGTGGGGTGAACCCAGGATAAGTTGCCACTCTGTTAGAGACAGACCATTCACTTCAGCAAGTCTCACATGCATGTTTTAGACCATAGGTGTCAAACTCTGGCCCGCGAGCCAAATTTGGCCCGCAGCCTAATTACATTTGGCCCGCGAAGCCATACCAAATTACTATTAGAGCTGGCCTACTGGTATTATACAGCTAATATATATATTGTTTAGTATTAAGCTTTGCTTGTTCCATATTCAGTTTTTCAGCAAAACTTGTTTGAGTCCATAAGAAAAGATTCATTCTTATATCTAGAGGAATAAATATATTTCAATAAATATTAATGTTAGCCTGCGACTTTGTTCCAGTTTTGAATTTTGGCCCACTGTGTATTTGAGTTTGACACCCCTGTTTTAGACTGATGGAGGAAGTACCTGGAGAAAACCCAAGGAGAACATGTAACCACCACACTGACAGGCCCAGAACCTTCATACTGTGGAGCAGCAGTCAAAACCACTGCACCACTCTGCCGTTTTTCCTTATAAAAGAAATTTCTTTGATTCACTATCTTATAAGCCAGCGTCGGCTTCCACCCATATCAGAGTACGTTGATCCAGTATGAGTGTAAAGATGGCACCCAGAGGGAAATCCTTTGTAGGAAGGATTCATGGACTTTGGAGGTACTTCCACAGGTTTCAGGATTCTTTGCAAAGTGAACACAACTTGAGGGAAAGTTGGACAAAACCTGAACTACACTGAGGTTACAATGTTTCCCAGATCACGATGAGGATGACGAACAGAAAAGCTTTCATATAAAGATTGCAGATTTTCATGAATGATATGTGAAGGTGACTCAGAAGAAACTAGAAGAAACCTGAAAGTGTAGTTTTCACATTCCTTCTGCATTTTTTTTTGTAGGTTTGTTTTTGTCTGGTTTCTGTCAGTTTTACTTTGTAGCACTTGCTGCATCTGGCTTCATTCTGTGTGCCGCTGGGAAATCACAGGTAATCATAGCAGTTAGTGCTGAGATGGGTTTTTTGCTGCTTCTGTTTGGGCACACGCGAAGGGACACACACAGAGATAAAAGTGCAGGTGTATGCAAAGGCGCACAATCATCTCCCGCATTTCATCTCAAAGGTACTTTTAGCCCGTACGTACGTGCGTGCGTACATGTGTGTCTCCCTCAGTCACACGCATAAACTCTCTACATGGTCTTCCCACACAGCTCGCCCCGTTAGCCTCCCACTCTGTTTGTCGGCACTGTTGTGAGGCTTGTTAGTGCTTTTTTTAACAGCAGCTAATAGAGCACCACTGATAATGCCAACTATGCAGACACACACAGTCGCACACGCAAACAAGCTTTATTAGATCCTGTGGATACTTGTTGAACGACCCTGATCATCTCACTTATTTTCTTTGTTGTTTTTACAACCTTGAATATTTTGTTAATGCACGAACTGCGAACTGTTATTGTAAAGGATCAGTGTTTCTGAATTATTTATACTGTTTACTACAAATCGCATGCAGTATATCGCAGAACTTTGGCAAACTGTGCTTGCAGGATTTGCATAATTCAGATTGTTTCTTCTCCGTTTGGCATGATTCAGGTTCTCTGTTATAGTCACATTTATCCATTTCGACCTAGTTCCACCTACTGTGCTGTACTGTGTGTGTTTCTGTTCAGGAAAGGGGTGAAAAATCAGACCTCGTGGTGCTTCAGGACTGAAAGCAAAGAATCTATTTTCTGTTTTCTTATTTTTCAGACTGTCACGAGTCATGCTCGGAGTGCCGTGGGCCGAGTCAGCAGGAGTGCGCGTCGTGCTCAGACCCGGCCGCCTTGCTGAAAGACGGGGCGTGCGTCCTTGACTGTGGCACAGGTTTCTACAGTCGAGAAGGCGTCTGCCACGGTAAAGCTGACACATATCCACACTGCAGCACTGAAGACATTTAGCTGAGTTTCAGTTTTGGCTGGTTTAGTAGAAATAGCACTTCTGCTGACGTCTTTACTAAAAGTAGTGCAACTCCACTGATCCAACACAAAACATTAGGTGTATATATATGCACGGATGGTTTGAGTACATCACCATCCAGAAAGCCCAAATATATCTTCTTTAAGGAATCAGTTTACCTCTGGCTTGTGATGATTTGTGCACATTTAGTTTCGTTTGCTGCGAGTTGGCCAGTTTTGAAGTTGTCAGCTGTAGATGTGTCCACTTTCCCTCGAATGTCATGACAGTAAATGGCCACAAAATTGTTATTATATTAAGAGTTTATTAACTTATCCGGCCAACTGCTACCAAACATTCTAGATGGATAAACAGCACTATGAGCTGTCTCAGGAAGCTACACTCTCTGATTTGCCTCCCTCTGTTAATTAAACCCAACCAAAATGTTTTAGTTGGAATCAATGTGTTTAAAATACAATGATTTTATCCTCTACAGGTCGAGCGTATGGAAGCGTAGAACTGCCAGCCAGGCAAAAGGAAATGAGGGTTATATCATATAAATATCTGATATATATACACATATATCTATAACGTGAAAACTTTATTGTTCTAACAATATACTTTTCATGTTTGAACAACATAACATCACGTTATTACAATATACATAACTATCACGTTATAACAAAAAACCTTTCTTACAATATAAATGTTATTTTGTACGAACAAGATAATTATATTGTTTGAAAAATAAAGTTTTAATGTTAAAACACATCTTTTATTTTTCGAACATTATATATTTGTTTGCCTTAAAACATAGTTGGAGAAAATGGCTCGTTTATCGGATCCAGTTAAGTTCTATTTTATGCTTGGATTGAGGCATAACGTGTGATAACGTGATAGTTACGTATATTGTAATAACATGACATTATCTTTTTCATATTTTTTTTATATGAAAAAGTTATTGTTAGAACAGTAAAGTTTTCACATTATAACATGAATAGATTCACTGTTGTTTTTCTTTTTGTACTAAATGCCAGTTTCATTTTAGCCTTCAGATTTTGTGACAGTCTGTGATTTTCCCTTTTCAAAGATTTTCTTTGAACAGTTTCAAGGAAATGAAGCAAAAACCTTTTGGGAGAACTAAAATGAAGTGAAGACATGAAAACAAGATATAAACGTTTTGTATTTCTTTATAATAATGACTCAGACACCGTGGTTCTTCTGTAGAGGCGTTTTAATCCATTTTCTGTTCTCTTGAATGCAGCAGTTAGACTCTTTGTACATAAAGCGCTTCAAATTGCAGGTAACACGTATGCTTTTAAATGTAATTTGTCCTCTGGGGGAAAAATAATATCATTTTTACTATTTTAGTCCTAAAACCACAAAGCGTCTGTAAGAATGGATTCTGGGGAAACCAGGTGCCCGAGGGTTCTGGGTTTGAATCCAAACTGGCAACTCCCAGTTTGAAGTTGCCAGATACATTTAAATAACTTGCAGTTTGTTTGTTTTTTCAATTTAATAATAAAAATGTACAGAAAAGTTTAAAGGGGAAAAGAAACCATACATTTCTCTGTGAGGTGTTTGCTGTGCGACTTCACCGGCGAGTGAAAGCTGACATTCCCACAGGTGGATCAGGTGTCACATGAAGTGCCGTTGCCCGATGCAGTAAACAGTAAACACTATCTGAGACGATGGAACGTTTATTGTTAGCAGTGAACTGAAGGTGAAGATTTATTTGGGTTTCTTTCCCCCCGCGGAGCTTCCTGCAGCATCCACTCGGCATGATGCCAAAATGATAAGTCAGCAGTAGCAAACAAACAATTTAAAAAAATACAATAATTAGTGATTCTCTCTCGCACTAATGAGGAGTCTGAGGCTTCTGAAATAAATAGATCCCATATGAATATGGATGCTTTCTATTTCTGAGTGGTAAGATGAGGGAGAGTAAGAATAGTCCCCCCTCAGGGCGACGGTGAACTTAACCAAGCTCTTTCTGGTTAAAGAGACCCAGAGGGGCCGGGATGGTGGGGTGGGCTTTTCTTCTGCTGTTGCTCACAGGAAAGTTTTGAAGCGCTCAGTGAGGAGCCCTCTTTCAGAAAATGTCAAAAAACATATGGAACTTTCTAGAAAAAGGTCAAATCCATTTGAACTTGCCAGCCAGCGCTTTGAGGCCTGGTTTAAAATGTCACCATCCTGAGAGAGCTGAAGGGCTTCTCCTCCGCGGGGCTTCTTGGGACTTTAGAAGTGAAAGATTTTCTTTTTTTCATCTCTCAAGTATGCTGCAGCAAAACCACCTGCTGAGGGAACGGTTTAGCGCATGTGTGCATGTTATGCTAAGATACCTCAGGTGCCTGAGAGGGAAGATTTGATCCATTGTTGGGGTTTCTTTTACATTATTTGTTGCCTTTTACCTCTTTTGTTCATCTTTTCAGCCATCTGCTTTCCAGTTTCTGTCATTAAAAGTTGGTCTTGCCTAAGTGACTTTTAATTGTATTTGAAGGACTGTTTGTTTAGGAGACTTTCCTCTTGCTTGTAGATAATTCAGCCATTTTTAAATTGACCTCAGTGCATTTTGTCATGCCAACAAAAAAGCCATTAACGTTTACACGCTGCGCTTCACAGCCTGTGATTCGTCCTGTGCCTCCTGTTTTCCCGACAACCCCAAATGTATGAGCTGCCCACCAGGGACCGCTTTGCATCATGGGAAATGTCTCAGCCAGTGTCCAGCTCAGCATTACCTGGACAGCCAAAGCAGATGCAGAGGTAAGTGTTTGCTCTGAAAATGACAAAGTGGAGATGTTTGCACATCATGCACAGCATGTTTGTCAAGTAATAGCATATACATGCAAACACCTCATACCTGCAATTAAGAGCTTGTTGTGCAGCTATGTTACCTGGCACCTTGCAATTTTTTAGTCCCCCATGAGCTCCTCTGTTTACAAAAGTATTCAGGGTCAAACGTGAGGCCATCTGTCCAAACTGAGACTTCAGTCCTATTAAAAGCTTCTCATTACTTTAATTAGAGAAGAAAACTTCTAAAATGAATCCTGTAACCCAGCGGTCTCCAACCTTTTTTGCGCCACGGACCGGTTTATGCCCGACATTATTTTCACGGACCAGTCTTTAAGGTGTCGCGGATAAATACAACAAAATAAAACTAGTACCAGTACCGAAAAAAAGAAGATTTATTCATAACACACATGAAAAGACCCAGGAAAACCGAGTTAACGATAAAAATGATAACAAAATAACGCTGAAAACCGATAAAAACCCTGAAAACAACACATTTCACACCTGAGCCTCAACTCTCGTGGCCCGGTACTGGTCCGAGGCCCGGGGGTTGGGGACCGCTGCTGTAACCTACACAGTTTGTGCCATTTTATTTAAGGGTCAAACCCTTAAATTCATACATAAATCTTTCCTAATAATTAAAGCGTCAGGTTCTACTGAGCTTACTAAGTTTTACTTCCTGTTTCATGGGTAGTTCTGTGTATCAAACTAAAGCTCTTCTATATTAAATGCTTATTTTCTTTGTGTCCCCAGCCTGCCACAGCTCCTGTGCCTCCTGCTGGGGTCCCTCGGTATCCCAGTGCACCTTGTGTCCAGGCGGACTGCTTCTCCACCAGGGCCAGTGTGTGGAGGCCTGTGGGGAGGGGCTGTATGCTCAGGACTACACCTGCCACAGTGAGAGTCCAAATACATTAATAAAGTATCCTGTTAAAAAACTTTTCTTCCTTGTCCCCAGAGTGTAACTGCCTCTCTGTGATGTTGTCTGTCCTCGCGCCCAGACTGTCACCCCTCCTGCCGTTCTTGTGTGGGACCCCTGGCCTCAGACTGCCTCCGCTGCCTCAAACCGGAGGAAGCTCTTCTTCCGCAATCGAGTCACCTTCAGCACAGCGTCTGCACAGCTGGGTGTCCCACGCGCAGCTTCCTGGATGACATGCAGACATGCAGAGGTGAGTGTATTTAATGTTTTATTTAGCTTCCTCTATAATTCAGGAGAGGCGGTACCTGCGAGGCCAGAAAGGATATTTCTGCTGCTGTGGGTCATGGTCGCTAATTAACACGCCAGCCATCGCTCACTTTGACTTTTAAAACAGATCAAATAGTCATTAGCACTAACTACGTTTAAGCCCGGTGAAAGCCAAAAACAACAAATTGTAAAATCCACGAATCAAAGCCAAAGCTTAAGGCTTGTTAACAACAAAGCGTGCCCTCATTTGCATTAGTAGTAATGAAATATTTACTCTGAATCGACAGAATATTAATGTGCAGCTATTCAGATTTTCTAACTGAACAATTTGTTTTATAACACAGGATATGACATCTTTTTAATGTCACAGTTAGGGCGACAAGTAAACTGGATATTAAACATAAAATTATAAAAGAAACAATTAGTTGCTTCATACTTAAGTAATGAGCAGAGTAATTAATCATGAAAATGTTATTTAGTTGAATCCTAAATATTGAATGAATTGTAGTTTTTGCTCTAACTTATTAAACAACCTGAAAGCTGGATTTATGCTCTGTTTATTCTGTGTACTGAACTGCTTGTTAGCGCTGGAAACATCCTGGCTTCATACATTTCTGACATCAGAACTGAGGAGTCTGTGTTTGAAATTCACGATCTGGCATTTGCACCTACTGTGTGAAGGGTAGGCCCTCCATGATGCAAGGCTTTTCCCTCCTTTACTCTAAAGGTCCCGTTGGTAGACTGTAGGTGCTGTTTGCAGCAATTTGCAGACCCACATCTACAAGTTGTACTTGCCACTCTCAGAAATATACGGCAATTGCTTAATTCTGTTTGTGTTCTTGTTGCTGCAGAGAAAACATACGTCATGATATGCCAAGAACTTCTTTGTAGTAAATTCAATTCAATTCAATTTTATTTATATAGCGCCAAATCACAACAAAAGTCGCCTCAAGGC